CTGACTGAGCAGCAAACCATGGCTTTGGTTCTGTCAGCTCATGTTTATCCTTCTTAATTTAAGAGACTGTCTCCGGAACAGGCAAACGTTGGGAGGATTCCGGAATGCTATGAACCAAATTCTGTTTGTTTTCCTTTCAGGTTGAAATAGCCTGACAGCTAAAAATTAAGTAGACGTCTGTGAATATTGAGAAATCTTTTAAAATAATAATTACGCAGCTCTTTTTTCTTGCGACTGAAAATGTTGGCAGATTCTTAAGGCATTTTCATTTGTTTTATTCTTGGAGAGTCAGAAAAAAAGCTTTGCTATTCTTCACTCCTCCATTGTGCAGTGTTCCATGGACTGAGAGCGTAGTTGGGCCTCTGTTGAGCTGATGGTAAGATGGGCGTCTGACCGCAACTTGGTGTCTGACCACTTTCCATGCAGTTGAACAGTTCCCAGTTCAAACTATCAAGAAAAACACAAGAACGGTTTCCATTTACCAGTAACTGAATTTCCTGTTCCTTCCTGAGGGCTTCCCCACCACCACCACCCAATGCCTATGCCAAGAGGATACAGGGGTGGATTAGAAGATGGCAGTACATTAGAACTCCAAGGTGAATATTGAGCTATTCTACCATTGAAATGTAGCTAAATCCGCATCTACCAGTTCCAGGCACTAGTTATGGAGGCATTAAACCTGCGACTTATCCTGACCTGTAAGACACATGCAAATAAGTCTATCCATTGAGCTGCCAGGGAAACCTTGGCTATCTCATTCTTCAGTTATGTTAGGAATCACGCAAGTTAAACCTGCTGCTTGCCCATGTCCAATGTGCAGTACAAAGGATGATTCCAGTCCATGTAGTTCATTAGGATTTAATTAGGGTTTAATTGGTGGAATCACATAGCTTTCCACCTTTCAGCAAATGTATTATTCATGAGGCTAAAACATCCCTTTTGTCTTCCAGGGCTCAGACTCGATCCAAGATGTTCAAGGCAAGCTTCTGCCAGGTTGCCTGTATATTCTTTCACAAACTCCTTTCTGCTCATGTCGCATTGCATTACATTTGACAAACTCTTGAAAAGAAAAAAAATGGCTTTGAGTCATGATAAGATATGCACTTCTCACTCAGCAACTGAGAATGTAAACTGTCCAGGCAGATAGGAGTCAAATCATAGGGAAAAGCTCAGAGTTGCAGTAAGATCACACTGACCACCCCACGCTTTCCCCTCTACACTTCATTGTTCTCTATTTTTATATGCTTTATACAGGGATTTTTTTTGGTTACTTCTAATCCCCGCCTAGTTATTCCTTTTCTGGTTTCCCTCTCCTCTGTTAATTTTGGTCTTGAGCTGGTCACTAAAAATACTCAGGAAGAGTCAAGTAAAGGCTCTTGAGGTTCTCCGTGATTAACACATCATACAATTCAATACAATTGACATTTATATAGCGCCTTTTACATCGGAAGGATGCCTCAAAGTGCTTGATAAATTGAATACAACACCATCAAAAGCTTGCATTTATACAGTACTCTTCATGTAGGAGTCCTGTGACTCAGTGGTTAGAACACTTGCCTCGCAAGCAGGAGACCTGGGTTTGATTCCCGGCAAGGAACACCACATAATAATTCCTCAAGAAAAAAAACAATAATAATTTGGTCCCTTCAATCCAAGACTGTTTGTGGGACACTGCTGGGCCCAATTAGCTGCCGTGTTTCACCCACAAACTATACAGTCAATTCACTTCACAGTATATACTGTGCTTTGAGATGTCTAGAAGACGTGAAAAGCGCTATATCAAATTCTAGGATTATTATTATTCTGTGAAGCGCTTTGAGATATCTAGAAGATACAAAAAGTGCTACATCAAATGCAAGGATTATTAACATATGAGACATATATCTTGGAGTACTGTACAATGATAGAGTTGGGCACAGGTAAGGTGACCATCGGTGCAGTTGAAGAGGTAGGTTTTCAGGTGAGATTTAAACAACAACACATGGCGCCTTTCAAAGTAACATAAAGAGAGGGCAAAGCAGAGCAACAGAGTTCCTGAGATTAGGGTCATAGTCGTTGAAGACTTGGCCATCCATTCTGGCACAGGAAGATTGGGGGTTGCACTGCAGGTCTGTGTTAGCTGAACAAAGGGGCTGGCTAGAGGAGTGGGGAACAAACAGGTTGGATAGATAGGGAGGTGTTAGGGCATAGAGGGATTTTATATGTGAGGATGAGGATCCTGAAGTTGATCTGTTTGGATATAAGGAGCCTATGAAGCCTGGCAAGAATTTGAGTGATGGGCATGCAGAGTTTGGTGATGGTGAGGATATGGGCAGTGGAATTTTCTATTAGCTAGACCTTGTTGATAGTGGAACTGGGGAGACCAGTGAGGAGTGCAATGCATCATCATTTATTTCTCTCAACGATGGATTCCTCCAAGAATATAAATCTCTAGCTCCTCTATCTATTTCATCACAAACATGTTTTTTTGGTCAGCCAGGTGTCTGACACACATGGAAATTCATCATCAGGCCAGATAGAGAATTCCACATATGTATATCACATACACATGGAAATTTCTCTCTCTCTGGAATGGAATGTGCATTCTCTCTATGGAGGAACACACATTACTTACTAATTTACTAACTTATATGAAAAAATGTGATCAATCAATCCAGGACTGTTTATGGGATACAGCTATACACAATTGGCTGCCACGTTTCACTCACAAAAATATATGGTCAATTCACTTTACAGCATATTCTGTGAAGCGCTTTGAGATGTCTAGAAGACCCGAAAAGCGCGATATCAAATGCAAGGATTATTATTATTATATCAAATGCAAGGAATATTTTTATTAATTCTGGAAAGTATTAGGTGCAGTTTAAGAAAAAACAAGGCTTGGAAATGCTAGAATGTTTGTTGGGGTACTGCTAGAGTTTAAGTAATTTGCCATTGAGAGCACTGTTTGGCAAGCTTCCCATTGCTTGTCCAGCTAGGAATGCTACCAATTATGCCTTTGGCTTGAAAGATTAGTGGGAGTTGAGTGGAAGGAAGCCAAGGTCATAGCGACTGATCTGGCCTTCCAAGTTCTGCCAATGAGCCAGGCTGTCATCATCAGTAACTCAGGAACCTCACTATCAAGACCGTCAAGATTGAATTATACAGTTCAATACTATTTATACTGAGATAGTGCCTTTCACATTGGAAGGATGTGCTTGACACTGCTGACTGGGCACCTGAGCTGGGGTGAGAGCAGAAGGGGGTGGAGAGGGAAAAGATACATGTGGTCTCAAGACAGGCCGTGAATGAGGAGAGGGAGCAAGGATTTACTTGATTTTAACATTCTGTTGCCAAGCCAGTTCAACTTCAAGGAGATCCTGGTGAACCGCCCCCTCCCCTAAGATAGTTAGTAACTGGATATCTGATATCTGACAAGTGAAAATTTAAGTCATTCCTGGATGGATAACGGGTGTCCTGTGAGCTTCCTGGTGAGCAGCATCAGATGAGCATGAAATAGGTGACATTAGTCAGTGGATGTGGAGGATGGTGGCAATGCTCTCACCCAGATGGAGATGTGGAGCTTGAGCAATAGCTACTTACCTCTCTGCATACCAGTCAAGATAGATTCCAAAAACTAGAAAACATAGGTGCTGTCTAGTCTGGTCATTTTCTGACTACTGCAATCATCAGACAATTTACATAACATAGAGTTAATTTCACTCTTCATTTCTTATGATCCCCGAAAATCTGCCCTCAAGTGTCGGATGGGCCCCCTCATTAATGTATATAATTCTCAATGATATCCCCATTCGTTTTAGTGTATTTCAGTCATGTGTCTCATTCAATAACTGTGTCTCAGCCATGTATCTCACTCAGTGAAAAGATTTTTGGAATATTCTCACTCAGTAAATGTTTCCTTATCTCTCATTCAGTGTATCTCCGTCAGTAGTTTTCATTCCATGAACGATTCTCAGAAGTGTATCTAACTCGGTGTATGTCAGCAATGTCTGTAACTCAGTGAGTGACATTGTGGTAACATTGTGTTTCTCTACGTTTCTTCTTCGATATTTCTTCGTGTTGAAGATTGGTTTATCGGTACGTATTTGTTTGCTATTTATTGCTATATATATATATTGCTATTGTTCATTATTTGGGATTTTTGAAGCTGACTCCTCAGCGTGTGAAACTGTTACTATTTCACACGTTACCCATCTGAGACAGCAGTCAGTTAGAAATTCCAGCACTGCCACTAACTAGTGTTCAACTTTTACGAATGTCCTGGTTCATGCTGGTGACGAGCGGTGGCACGTCCTTGTTCACCAGGTAAACTTTTCAAACATAATGTATTGTAAGCATATGGTAGGCAATGATTTTCCTGGCTGACAGCCAAGCCACAAAATCTCCCTGTATCGCTAACACGCCGTGTCCTGGGATTTGTGACACTCACCAACGCAACTTCAGATAACATAATACCACAGAGTAGCAATAAATAACAAGAAACTACGTGTCTTCACGAAATACACGTTCATATCAAGCGAGAGAGATTAATGTTAGTATGTATCCTACTTTCTGCCGGATGCTCGGATACAATTATGAAATAAAACCAGAAATTAGCTGTGAACACTCAGCAGGTCAGGCAGCATCTATGGAGAGAGAGAGAAAAGTGAGTTAAACGTGTCAGGTCGATGGCCTTTCGTCAGAACTCCGGGTACAGTTGGTTAGTTACCCTATTCAATCTAAATCTCGCCCCCAACAACAGGTCCCTGAAAAATAAATCTGCACTGCGGTCGTGACTCTTAACGTGGGGGTAAAAATACATTGACGAAATTCAGCACCAACCAAAGCAGCACATGTACCTCCGGACTGTAATAACACTGCACAATCGTCCGGGCAAGTCTCAATAGCCCTTCCTTTCTGACCCCGAAACACTGCAGGAAACAATCCTCTGGTCTCGTAATTCACTTGAGCTTCACAAGTAGCCTCTGTGAACTCGTGAGAACCGACGGAAGTTTACTCACGTTTCCAGCTTGTGTTTGCAGACTCCATCGCCAGCTGTGGGATTGTTCCTTTCCTTTATATTCCTGCCCGACTGCAATTAATCCTCGCAAAGTGGAAGGCGCGGTTAATCGCGCCACAGGGAAACCTGGGAGACACGTCAAAAAGTCTTTCGGAAGCTGGTTTTGTTCTCACCGTTTGCCCCTGTGAGCGTGTGAATTCTTACCACCAGTCCCTCTCTGTACATCCTTCCCGTTACTTCGTCTGTCGTATTAAATATTAAATGGTGTGCAATTAAATTGTGCACAGTTGGCTTCTCCGTTCAGTGTACGTTCTCGTTACCAGTGCCTGTGTGGGGCTCACTATTAGTGTCCAGTTACATACTGTCCATACGAAATTCGTTGCAGTGAATCAAAATAGCTTAACTCTTTGATTGATCAATACGTTTGATGCTGAAATGCCCTGAACTGGACGTGTCTCCAGACAATGGAGTGAGGATATCTTGTAATAATAAATAAATATAATAATAATAAACAGAGCTACTACACCCCCCCCCCCCCCCCAGTCCCCCACTCTCCATGTTTTATAAATGGAAATCCATGTCAGAGTATACCCTAACTTGTGAGAAACAACAAGGAGATTGCAGACAGTTGCGGGTTGTAGCAGATTACTGAGCGTCAGTCCTTTGAGAACGAACACAGTACGTTAAGTGCTTCAGAGGCAGCGCGGCGCTGTGTGCGGGACTGGGCGTCCCGCTCGGATGCCACTCATCTCACTGAGCGGTTTGAGTTGTTCCAAGTGGTGTGTGGACTTCTGTGGTTGTCTTTCTGTTTCCCCGTTAGGCGACCGGGTTGGATGCCGTGCGTTTGATTGACTGGTCTGGGTGGGTTCGTGTCTGTGGTTGGTCGGCTGGTCCGACACTGGGTGTTAGTCTCCAGTTTTTGTGTCCAGTTCCTCAATTTGAATCCAAGTGCCGACAGCACCAGAGACAGACATGCCCGTGACCAGCCGGTGTCCACAGGTCACCAGCGGACTCGCTCACTGATCGCACCGACCGCACAGAGGGAACCCGACACAGGGGCACCAACTCGGCAATGGCATCCACGGGGCTGGAGATCCTGGGCTTGGCGCTGTGTGTTGTCGGGTGGCTCGGGGTCATGCTCGCCTGCGGACTGCCCATGTGGAAAGTGACGGCTTTCATCGAAAATAACATCATCCTGGCACAGACGGTCTGGGAAGGGCTGTGGATGAACTGCGTGGTACTCAGCACCGGACAGATGCAGTGCAAGGTCTACAGTTCGCTCCTGGCCCTGGGGCCGGATCAGCAGACCGCCCGGGCTCTGACTGTCATCGCCTCCATCATGGGGCTCTTCGGGATCCTCATCACCATCTTCGGCGCGCAGTGCACCAACTGCATCGAGGGGGAGACGGTGAAAGCCCGGATCGTCATCAGCGGCGGGGCGGTGTTCATCCTGGCCGGTTTCCTCCTGATGATCCCGGTCTCCTGGATGGCGCACACCATCGTCCGCGATTTCCACGACCCAAACGTCCCGAGCTCCAAGAAGAGGGAGATGGGCGCAGCGCTGTACGTGGGATGGGCGGCCTCCGCGCTCCTGTTCATCGGAGGTTCCCTCCTGTGCTGTTCTTGTCCCCCGAAACAGGAGCAGTCGGCGTTTGCCGTCAAATACACAGCCCCGAGGAGAGCAGCGGCTAACGGGGACTACGACAAGAGGAATTATGTCTGAATGGTGGGACACCGCTGTTTGGAAAGGTCAGACTTGTACTACAAAGAACACAGAAGAGTACAACCTGAAGCCCATCTGACTTTCCACCCAACTTCTTTTACCGCTGATTGTCAAAGGCAGTCTTGTTATTTAATCAAATTGGATCTGTATTATTCTTTTGTTTTGTGAGGACAAACGAACTCAGAATAGCGCATCGTGGGCAGCTTTGCAGGTGGACTTTTTTTCGGGGGGTGGGGGGTGGTTTGGGGGGTGGCGTGGGGGGGGGGGATGGCGTGGGGGTGGGGGGGGGGGGCGTTGGGGGAAAGAGATTAACCCCCAAAAGCGCCGTCAACTCTGCAAAAGGCGCCCCTGTGGTGTCTTTACACAGAGGAGGATTTCTGAACCTTGTGGGAAAAATCCATTGTTCGCTCAGTAACTGATTTATTTTGCAATTGATCGATGCGTATTCTGTGATCTTAAGAGCTGTTTTAATAAACTCTCTTTTCCGATTGACCTGAACAAAAATCATTCTCACGAACACCAGGGCTCCCTAACCCCCAGCAGCGCGGCCAGGCTCACGCCGAATGATGAAGCTTAATTAGATGAGATTAGAAAATCGGTTTGAAAAGTGTTGCAGAGCACAAGTCTGTTATCCGAACGTGTGTATCAGCCACGAGTAAGTCGTTTCATACCGCAGCTTAGCCGAACTTGGCATGAAATTGTGTAAGTGCTATAGAATAAAACTATGATAAATGCTACTGCGCTGTGCTGTGCTGTTGACCCATTTAGTTTAAAGTGCGCGTTGTGCACAGAAAGGGTTGATTTTATGAATGTCTGGAATTGGCTTCTTAATGGGCACAGACAGACATGGGTGAAGGGCGCGTTTCTGATCCGCCTCGTGTGTCCGTCTTTTGTTATCATTGCGCCTCATGTTGTCTGCAACTGACTTCCCAGGGAATCACCAACCGACAAGCAACTGTACCTTAAAGCTGGATCCGGCAGCTCAGAGAAAGTCGGTTTGTTTGGACTTGTTAGAGCATTTAGAGCACCGAGATAGATAACCGGAGGAAAGGTTCTTCCTCAAACGAGAGAACTCCAGTTCCCCTATTGTCCAACTAGTGATGATGAGTGATGATGACTTAAAACCAGAAACCTCAGTGTCTCTAAATCACAGCAAGACATGAAACAGGTCTCTCCTTAGATTGTGGAACATTACTGGGTAGCAGTGCATAGTTACAATGGAGAACGTGTTAGTTAATGATAGGATTATTGATGAATTGTATAGAGTATTAATGAGAAGAGTGGTCGTGACGGAGTATTAATGGTGTAGTGAATATTAACTCTTGGGATAGTGTTAACATGGAAAGAATTGTCACAATCTGACGAGTATCAATGACAAAGAACGTTCACAATAGGGACCGTATTAATGATGTAATACAATATTAGTTGTGGGGAGACTGTGCATTAGAGTGTGGGTGGAGCAGTAACAATGATGTAATGTCAATGAGATTGTTTATTTGAAAAAAAATCAAAGGACTTTAACCTGGAATGAAGATCTCATTGAATTATGGGGGGGAGGGGGGGGGGGAGGATGACATTATTGATTGTACTGCTTCCTGGGTATCGCTGTTTGTGTTATAATATACAGTGACACTTTGGACTTGAATCATTTCTGTATTGCATGCTATAGATTTCGAGTCAGCTATAATGCAACAGGCGAGCGTCATGATTCCTCCGAAAGCCGTTCTCCGAGCTCGCCTGTTGCTCCGCGGCCGCTGTCCTTTGTCTTGCCTGAATGTGAATGTAATAAACGTACAAAACAAATGACGATTTCAGTGTTTCTAAGGGAAGGAATAGCTCGATGATAACACACGGTTGCTGTGGTAACGCGCGATGCTGCTATTGGACAGGAGAACTGGGGTCATCTGTTGGGCCCCATTGTGTCCGCAGACCATTCAGTGCACAATCTCTGAACAGCACAGGCTCTGAAAATTCAAACCCTACAGATCCTCAATGTAATAATCAGGCCACCCCTTGTATAGACTTTCAGGGTCCGTTGAGTTAGCATCAATAGGGTAATTTGGGAGAGTACAGTATAGAGCGCCAGAATCTCGTTGCAACTTTGTGCTACTAACCCATCCATTGAGAAAACTCCTCCACGTACCATTCATCGATCACAAACAAGCTATCCCTACACTTTCAGTGATATTTTCCCATTAAAGGACAATTTGGCAAGATAAACACATTGAGTTCACTGTGATCATAGACTCTGCCCAATATTTGACGCAGGTGATATCCTCAGGTAAAACATCCCCACCAAAATACTCTGGAAACCTTCCCTCAAAGATATACATACATAGGGTAGTCAAACAAAGCCCCAGAACATTAATCTAACTTTGCAACCACACTTACTCTCTGATCAGTTTAGTCCAAAGGTGACTTTTCTAGGGCGGTAGAAGAGCATGAATGTAGAATGTTTGGTCAATTGTGGCCTATATTTATTATCATGATTATGTATTAAATTCTCGGAACAAGCACATATTTTAAAGGCTTTAATGCACTTAGTATAGTTGCTTTTGACTGGAGTGTGTCACTCTTTTGAATAAAATGTAATCGACTGTATCATCTGGGGCTTGTTAAATTTGTTAGCTTGGCAAGATTTGAAATGAGAAGATGTTCTGGTGCCCTTGCCAACAATTCTTCAGATAATAACATTTTGATTCACCTCATAACTATTATTGGGGACATTGTTGTGTGCAAAGTGGCTGCTACTCTCATCTACAAATGCAAACAGCACACTGTAAACAGTGTTCTGTGAAGTGCGTTGATACTTTACCATGTGGTAAATTGCTATATCAAATGCAAGTATTATAATTATATTTATGAATGTAACAAGTTTCTGACTAATCCAAAAATATAAGAGTTAAAATGTCTGCAATATAAATCTGAGATTCAACCAACACATCATCTTCAAATATGATACACATAGGTCAATAAATTGTTTTCCCCCTTTACTGAAACCCACTAAATGGGAATAAATAAAGAAAATAAGAAAAAACAAGACATAAAAAGGGTAAGAATAGAAAGGCAAAATTTACCTTCACCCGAGCCTATGCTTGCCAAAATGCCTTAACCATGAGAGTTAATCTTGGTCCTGAATGTACATGGTTATTTTTGGTCAGTGGGATGCTTAAGTCACACAGAAACTTCTGAGAGTTCCACATATACCTGAACATTTCTGTTTGCTTGAATGGAGTGAGCACTCTCTCCCCAAAGGATGTAATTAGAAACAGTAGTTTCAAGCCCCATGTCTTTAAGCTCATAGTCCAAGCTGACACTCCAATGAACTGTTGAGGAAAGCATTGCATTGTCAGAGGTACCAACATTGAGATCATAGAATTATAGAATTATACAGCACAGAAGGAGGCCATTCAGTCCATCGTGTCTGTGCCAGATCTTTTAAAAGAGCTATCCAAATCAATCCCCTGCTCTCTCCCCATAGCCCTGCAAAATTGTCCTCCCCAAATAATTATCTACTGAATTCCCTGGGTTATTTTCCTGGGTTTGATTCCCGGCAGGGCAAGATCTTCGACAAGTTTCCTTATTCCACAAGCATGACAATAATCCCTCAAAAAAATAATAAATTGGTCACTTTAATCCACGATTGTTTGTGGAACACTGCTGTGCGCAATTGGCTGCCGCCTTTTGCCCACAAGTACACAGTCAATTCATTTTACAGTATATTCTGTGAAGCACTTTGAAGACGTCTAGAAGACATGAAAAGCACTATATCAAATGCAAGTTTTATTATTATTACTTCTCTCTAAAAAGTTGTTATCGAATTGGTTTCCATCACCCTTTCTGGCAATACATTCCAGATCCGGACAACTCGCTGTGTGAAAACATTTCTTCTCACCTCCCCTCTGATTCTTTTAACAACTATTTTAAATTAGTGTCCTCGGGTTACTAACCCACCTGCCAGTGAAAATAGTTTCTTTTTGTTCACCCAATTGAATCCCCTCATAATTCTGAAAATTTCTATTAAGTCACCTCTTAACCTTCTGTGCTCCAAGAATAATAATCCTCGCTTCTCTACCCTCTCCTGATAACTGAAGTTCCTCATTCCTGGTACCATCCTGGTAAATCTCCTCACCAATGCCTTGACATCCTTCCTAAAGTGTGGGGCCCAGAACTGAACACAGTCTCTCGCTGAGGACTAACCAGTGTTTTATATAAAGGTTCATCATAACTTCCCGACTTTTCTATTCTATGCCCCTATTTATAAAGCCTAGTAACCCGTATGCTTTTTTAAACAGCTTTATCTATCTGTCCTGCTACCTTCAAAAATTCACTTAGATGAACCCCCAGGTCTCTCTGTTCCTTCACCCTTTAAGATTATACCATCAGCTTATATTTCTTCTCCTCATTCTTCCACCCAAAATGCATCACTTTGCATTTCTCCACGTTGAACTTCATCTGCCACGTGTCTGCCCATGTTACCAGTCTGTCTATGTCCTCTTGCAGTCTGCGACTATCCTCTCACTGTTTACCACTTTTCTTAGCTTAGTATTATCTGTAAACTTGGAAATTGTACTCCCTATACCCAAGTCCAGGTCAGTTATATAGGTCAAAAAGAGCAGTGGTCCCAATATCGACTCCTGGGGGACACCAATGCACAGTTACCTCCAGTCAGAAAAACAACCGTTCACCACAACTCTCTGCTTTCTGTCTCCCGGACAGTTCTGTATCTATGCTGCCACCGTCCCTTTAATATCGTGGGCTTCTATTTTGCTTACAAGTCTCTTATATGGCACTTGATCAAATGCCTTTTGAAGATCTGTATAAACTACATTAACTGCACTACCTTCATCCACCCTCTTCATTACTTCATCAAAAAACTCAAAAAAAAGGTTTGTTAGACACGATTTGTCTTTAACAAACATCCTTTTTTCTAAGTGAAAATCTATTTTGGCCCGGATTATAGTCTCTAGAAGTTTCCCACTACTGACGTTAGGTTGACTGGCCTGTAGTTCTCAGGCTTCTCCTTCTGCCCCTTTTTCTACAGGGGAGTAATATTTGCAATGTTACACAATACAATTTACATCTGGGATGCAGTTCCAGAGGATGGGGGTAGAATGGCTGAAAGCCACCCACCCCACCAGTGACCGGTGGTGTGGTGGGGTGGGGAGCGGGGAGGCGGAGGGATCAGGCAGGGGACATGTGGAGTCCTGTAGCTCAGTGGTTAG